CAAAAAAAAAATATATAAAAAAAAAAAAAATATATATATATATATATATAAATTAGTTTTTCTGTTATTCAGGGGGGGAGTTGAAGAAAATATGATGCCGCCGAGTTTAAGAAATAAAATTCCCAATACCTACAGAAAATTAGAAAAATGGAAGAGCATTTTCTTTGCACCGCCTGATAGCCTTTTAACTACGTCGCAGTATAAGCTTTCCTTTTTCAGATATTAAGCCAACAATGTGTTATGATCAGCAAATGTAAAGATTAAAACTGTGTAGCTTGGGCCCTGGGTGTCATTGGAATATTTTGTGGTTAGGATTAGAACCTTGTGGTAATCCAGTACTTATTTCTCTAGTTCAGCGGTTATCAACCTGTGGATCGCGACCCCTTTTGAATTAATTTTTCTACGCGTCGCGAGTCACTAGATCTGATCCATAAAACAAACCCCCACTAAATACAGAACAAACCTAATGTGACAGTCTTTATTTAAAAAAATAAAAGCTCTCTTGACTTTTTACAATCGACTTCTATGTTCTGGTTCTGGTTCTGGTTCTGGTAGTGTTTCGTTGCTGCATCCATGTGCTGGCATCTTTGCAACGATTGGGGGTATGATTTTGCTATTCTAACAGCTCCTGGGAGATGCCAGAGCAGGCTTGAAGCTTTCGACCGATGTCGATTTCACAGTGGCATCGTCCAGGTGGTTCCATGCTATTATTGTGCGTGGGAAGAAAGATTGTTGATACTGCACTGTGTTGCACTGAGGCACTTTGAAGCATTTGCTATTGTTTCGGGTGTAATTGTTTATGGGAATGTCAGTGGTGAAATCAGTGTTCAGTGAGCGTTATGCTCTGATCAGTCTACCCGGCTTCTGTGGGGGTGAGGTACGTGCCTGCTGGGATGGCCGGCACCAGTCCCATGATCACTTTATATAAGAATTTCAGGAGTAGTCTCTCTCGTCTGTCTTTAAGGAAGGGGGGTGTCAAATCTTTTTAAGAGGCCAGTGACGAAGCCAGGAGTGGTGGATTTGTAGTCTCGGGCGATAAAACGCATCGAGTTACGTTGAATTCGCTCCAGAATTCCCAGATGATCGCACCATATTCCAGTAGTGGACGGACGAGTGCGAGATAGGCATTTCGTTTGCATAAAGTTGGGCAGTGGCGCAGATTTCTGCGGATGAAACCTAGGGTGGAGTTGGCTTTTTTTTATAAATTTTTTATATGGGGTGACCATTTTAGGTTGTTTGAGAAGAGAATGTAAATTGAATGAAGAAAGAATAATTCTCCTTTTTTCTTTTTAACAACCATCAATTGAAAGACCACAAAATTTAACGAGGTGGGCCGCATGCAGCCCGTGGGCCAGGGCTTGTTACTGGCTGTGCATGGGTGCAATACTCACTTTGTTATCAGCTATACCCTGATGCAGGACGTCGTTATTCTTAGAAACGGAAAAACCCGATGATTCACGCATAATAAACTAACTATTGAACGTGCGCACCAACCTGGTAACGTTTTGAAGTTAAACTAAAACCAATAATTTCTTTGGCAATTCTTTTAATTTTATAGTCTGTTTTCAAACTTACAGAATTTTCGTCTCAAATTTATAAATTTAAGAACAGTTCATTAGTAAATTAAGATTAACTTTGTCCTCATCTCATCAACGCTTTCTTACAAGTGTGCGAGTCTCAATCATAAAACTTTCAGGTAATGTTTATATGAAAACAATTATTCTGATTTTACGGATTCATCAGGCTTTTACTTATTCAAAGAGTTTTTAACACGATTTGCAGGTTTGGTCGAGTCCTGAGAGTAGAGTGGAGGTGGGGTGGGGGGTAATCTAACTCCGGAGTAATTCATTTCAGACGGGTGCGGTTGTGGACTATTGTTTCACCTGGCCAGATGTGCTATTTCATCTACACGGAAACCGTGTTGTTCATTAGAGCGAATGCACTATGTAAGCACATCTAAACGTGAGCCAATGAGCACACACTCCTGCCACACGCCAGGTCGGGACCCGGCAGCGGGCAACGAGATCAAAGTCCAAACGTTTTTTTTTAAGCTGTTGAAAACCTAGATGACTCCTCATCGTGCCTTGGCCTGATTTTTATTTTTTTTCTAAGAGCATCTCGGTCAATGCTTAAAAATAAATTAGAATATCAAATTCTTTATAAATACAAAAAAAAAAAAAAAAAGAAAAAAGAGAAGGGGGGGGGGGGGGGGAATTTAACCTAACAAAAAAATGTATGTCTTCAAATTATCCTCACACAATAGCTAGTTCCAGCAATACAATTGCTAGTTCCAGCAATACATTTGCTAGTTCCAGCAATATAATTGCTAGTTCCAGCAATTAAAATTGGAAACATCTTGAGATATGCGCTAAGAACCAAGAACAGCCCTTAGCAATGTGCTGGCGCTATCAGAAAACGCAATCAAAGCACCATCCATGGCCCTAAGCAATATGCTGACGCCATCAAATCACACAATAAAATAAAAGCACCATCCACTGACGCCATCAAACCACACAATAAAAGCACCATCCACTGACGCCATCAAACCACACAATAAAAGCACCATCCACTGACGCCATCAAACCACACAATAAAAGGACCATCCACTGACGCCATCAAATCACACATTAAAAGCACCATCCACTGACGCCATCAAACCACACAATAAAAGCACCATCCACTGACGCCATCAAATCACACATTAAAAGCACCATCCACTGACGCCATCAGATCACACAATAAAAGCACTATCCATGGCCCTGATCAATGTGCTGACGCCGTCGAATGACACAATCAAAGAACCATTGTTGTCAGAGTATATCCCCGTCATGCTACCCTTGTTCTACATTGTATGCTAAGAGACGTCCTTGCGTTCTTCAGGAAACTGCGCTAATCCACGGTCAGTGGTCATTTGGAAATGGTGTTGGATCTCAACCGCATCATCATGGATGCCGTGGCTGATAAGCTGACCACGGCAAAGAAAAACGTATACGACCTGAACACGGCCATGATAAATACGTATTTCATGTGTATCGAAACAGGTAGGGTAATGACGGTTTTAACCTTAATGACAGGTAGGGGAATAACGGTTCTAAACTTAATGACAGGTAGGGGAATAACGGTTCTAACCTTAATGACAGGTAGGGGGATAACGGTTGTAACCTTAATGACAGGTAGGGGGATACGGTTGTAATCTTAATGAGTCTTTTCCTCGTGGAGTCTAAGTTTGGCTCAATAGGCTTTAACCTTTCTCGACTTGTATTGGACCCTTTAAAACGTTTTTTTCGTAAGTTTTCTTCATGTTTTTTTTTAAACGGATGAACCAGTTAAATTTGTTAAAATAAAAATTAAGGATTTAATTGTTTCAATGAGCATGTTCCGGTGTGGACTTTTCAAATTTTTTTTTTATTATTATTTATATTTGTACCCGTAGAACCTCTTTCCCAAAGTAAGTTTATTGGCACAGTGCCTGGGGTAACATGCACGAGTTAGCCCCACTGGTTAGAAACTATAGGCAACTGTGAGTTATTTATTCAGCTATCATCACCGACTTGTGCCTGATGCACCAGGTCGCCCCTTTTGTCCATGGTCTACTTGTTTTGGAGCAGACCCCTCTCTCTTATAATGTTCTGCACCATTTATCATTGGGTCTTACTGGGTCTCGATTTCCCTTGAGATTTTCATCTAAGTGCCCCCTTAGGTAGTGATTTTCGTGTCATTCAGCAAAGATGTAAATATTGCTAATATCAGTAAACAGTTGTCTTATTCTCTAATCGATATCCCAGCTCCCCATTGGCGACTGCCTTCGGACGGAAAACGCAATGACAACTTCCGGAATATTTGTCTCATACAACGTTCAATTACCGTGTTAAATGCCGGCAGTCTTCCAGACATCAAAGCTTCGTGGAGAAGGACATATAGAAAACGTTTTCATAATTTTGACCTAGGAGATCGCCATGCTTTTGGGGACATTGATACTAATGCAATTAATTTTTCTGTCGCATCTTCTTTCAATTCTTCGTCATCACTCTATAAGTTGATTTCCAACGTAGAATCAAACTTTGTCCTGCCTGTCTATGATGCAAGCAAAGCCGCCTCTATACATTTTCTGCATCGAAGTGATTCTCTCCTTACACCAGCAGCAATCCTATGGCAGGTGTTTGAACATCGCTTCTGGGGCGCTTGCATGTATGGTATACCGTGTATGTTTTGAAATTGTTGACTTGATTGTAGCTCAGCTCCTGCTGTTCTCCATTGCAGATGGCAATATTTACTACACTCTTGAAAGCTGTACTTTCAGATGCGCTTGTCGGCTTCATAGAGACGTGAAGACCTACAAATAAAACGTTTGTTATTGTTCAGTAATGATGTGGGGGTCCACGTTTTGTTTTTGTTTTGAGCAACTCAACATCCGCTGCCAACATAGAGCGCTGTCGTTTCTTAACAAAGCGATACACTGAGATCTTCGAACACATACATTTTTGATAAGAATCAATACATATTTTGCTGTTCTCTGTTTCTCCCGAAGAAGGCGTTTAGCCGAAACGTCCTTTCAAGCTTCCTGTCTTTTTTTGTGTGTGTCCAAGCTTAAAAATAGCTTGTTCCACGATTTACTTATGCAACTCGGTAGCCGAAATGGCTTGCAGAATACAATATGACGTTTCCCGGCGAAATTCTTTACATGAAGTCCACAGTGACGACGTTAAAGAGAATATACTTTGAATGTTGGAATGTTCTCTTGAATGGCTCAAGAAGCTTCTTGTGGCCAACGATATCTTCCTTGCCAAGGATCGTAGTGATATTTTTCTCATACTATACGTGAAACAGGAAGCTGGTGATTTTTTCTTGAAGTCATTGGATTTTTGCGGCATCGGGGACTCCATCACACCCAGAAGCTCCGCCGTTGTGAATTTCTGTTCTGCTTGCTGTAAGCGTGTTGAGACGGTGTGGGGTGTTGAGACGGTGTGGGGTGTTTAGACAGTGTGGGGTGTTGAGACGGTGTGGGGTGTTGAGACGGTGTCGGGTGTTGAGACGGTGTGGGGTGTTAAGACGGTGTGGGGTGTTGAGACGGTGTTGGGTGTTGAGACGGTGTGGGGTGTAGAGACGGTGTTGGGTGTTTAGACAGTGTGGGGTGTTGAAACGATGTGGGGAGAAATCTGCGAGGCTGGATCAAATCCATCAAATCTGATCAATGTGTGTCGGGTGTTGAGACGGTGTGGGGTGTTAAGACGGTGTGGGGTGTTGAGACGGCGTTGGGTGTTGAGACGGTGTGGGGTGTAGAGACGGTGTTGGGTGTTTAGACAGTGTGGGGTGTTGAAACGATGTGGGGTGTTGAGGCGATGTGGGGTGTTTAGACAGTGTGGGGTGTTGAGACGATGTGGGGTGTTGAGACGGTGTGGGTTGTTGAGACGGTGTGGGGTGTTGAGACGATGTGGGGTGTTGAGACGGTGTGGGGTGTTCAGATGGTGTGGGGTTTTGAGACGGTGTGGGGTGTTAAGACGATGTGTGTTCAACTGCTCACCTGCACCTGGTTTTTGGCCTGTTTATATTTATTTACCTTCTGTAAAAAGTGATATAGAGGCCAGAAGCACCCCACGTGGTTCAACTTGATGGCATAATCACAGTTCCTTTATGGTGGCAAAATGTGCGTTGCCGAAAAGTTTGTAACGTGGTGATAACCACGAGGTTGGGAAGTTTTGTTGTTGTTTTGTTGCTTTTTTGCTCAAAGAGTTTGCGGTGACGTCCGATTGTCATTGAGATTGGCTTCTACTTGGAGGAGAGAGTCACCAACCATTGCTACAGTGCGAGGTGAGAGCCAACGACCATTGCTACAGTGCTCGGTGAGAGTCACCGACCATTGCTACAGTGCGAGGTGACAGTCACTGATCATTGCTACAGTGCTCGGTGAGAGACACCGACCATTGCTACAGTGCGAGCTGAAAGTCACCAACCATTGCTACAGTGCGAGGTGAGAGTCACCGACCATTGCTACAGTGCGAGTTGAGAGTCACCGACCATTTCTACAGTGCTCGGTGAGAGACACCGACCATTGCTACAGTGCGAGTCGAAAGTCACCAACCATTGCTACAGTGCGAGGTGAGAGTCACCGACCATTGCTACAGTGCGAGTTGAGAGTCACCGACCATTTCTACAGTGCTCGGTGAGAGACACCGACCATTGCTACAGTGCGAGTCGGAAGTCACCAACCATTGCTACAGTGCGAGTTGAGAGTCACCGACCATTGCTACAGTGCTCGGTGAGAGACACCGACCATTGCTACAATGCGAGGTGAGAGACTCAACCGTTGCTACAATGCGAGATGAAAGTCACCGACCATTGCTACAGTGCGAGGTGAGAGTCACCTACCATTGCTACAGTGCGAGGTGAGAGACACCGACCATTGCTACAATGCGAGCTGAGAGACTCAACCATTGCTACAGTGCGATGTGAGAGACACCGACCATTGCTACAGTGCGAGGTGACAGTCACTAACCATTGCTACAGTGCGAGGTGAGAGACCTAACCATTGCTACAATGCGAGGTGAGAGACTCAACCATTGCTACAGTGCGAGGTGAGAGACCTAACCATTGCTACAATGCGAGGTGAGAGACTCAACCATTGCTACAGTGCGAGGTGAGAGACCTAACCATTGCTACAATGCGAGGTGAGAGACTCAACCATTGCTACAGTGCGAGGTGAGAGACCTAACCATTGCTACAATGCGAGGTGAGAGACTCAACCATTGCTACAGTGCGAGGTGAGAGACCTAACCATTGCTACAATGCGAGGTGAGAGACTCAACCATTGCTACAGTGCGAGGTGAGAGACCTAACCATTGCTACAATGCGAGGTGAGAGACTCAACCATTGCTACAGTGCGAGGTGAGAGACCTAACCATTGCTACAATGCGAGGTGAGAGACTCAACCATTGCTACAGTGCGAGGTGAGAGACCTAACCATTGCTACAATGCGAGGTGAGAGACTCAACCATTGCTACAGTGCGAGGTGAGAGACCTAACCATTGCTACAATGCGAGGTGAGAGACTCAACCATTGCTACAGTGCGAGGTGAGAGACCTAACCATTGCTACAATGCGAGGTGAGAGACTCAACCATTGCTACAGTGCGAGGTGAGAGACCTAACCATTGCTACAATGCGAGGTGAGAGACTCAACCATTGCTACAGTGCGAGGTGAGAGACCTAACCATTGCTACAGTGCGAGGTGAGAGACCTAACCATTGCTACAATGCGAGGTGAGAGACTCAACCATTGCTACAGTGCGATGTGAGAGACACCGACCATTGCTACAGTGCGAGGTGACAGTCACTGACCATTGCTACAGTGCGAGGTGAGAGACTCAACCATAGCTACAGTGCGAGGTGAGAGACTCAACCATTGCTACAATGCGAGCTGAGAGACTCAACCATTGCTACAGTGCGAATTTTTCTATCTCGTTTTAGGATTGGATTCGCGCTTTTTTTGCTGTCAAACGTTTTTCTAGTAGAACTTTCTCATTTTATTTCAAACTCTACTTCGTTCCGCTTACCCGTACGATTGGCATGTCGAGTTGAGAGGTTTTTCTCCTCTCTTCATACAGGGTAATAAAGAATGTACTTGTCCCGTACGTCGAAGGCAGCTGCGTCTGACGTACACTTGCACGCTCGTTAGGGCGTTGGGTAGATGTAATTTTTCGCGCCATTTAACATAGCGTAACGTTTGGTTTATTCCTCTAGACATGTCTGAAATTCTGCGTGACCGATTATTTTGTCTCCAGTACATCTTCTTTGCTATCCGCCAGGGGAAACGATCTACGACAAGACCGGCAGGACGGGAAAGCCGTCGGTGGACATTGTGTACAGCGCCCTGTTCACCAACAAGACGCACACGCCACAGGTCTACAAGCTGAACACGAGCAGGGAAACGACATCCGTGTATGAATTCACCTACAGCAAGTGCTGGTCCTTCGGCGCAGAGATCAACATGACGGGCCTGATCCCCGTGGTAGGGGCCAATCTTAACGCAGTGGTGGGATTGAAACACACGCGACAAAAGGGTAATGGGCCCGATCAAGATTGATCGCTTTCTCTCCTAAACTTATTGAGGCATAATTTTTTTTGGGGGGGGGGGGGGGGAAACTTAATATGTCTGTTGCCACTAAATGTATTACAAATTTCTATATTTTACTTGCGCTCTTTCCTTACATAGATATATACGGAATTATAACATCTCGCCATAACTACAGCGAGAGGTCATGTGGCTCTGTTAAGCCTCGTTCTCAATTGGTAAAAGGGAATATTTGAGACATAAGGGTCAAGGAATAGTTTATTCCAACTTATCTATGTGCTGGCATCATTACAAAAATTTTGATTTAAAAATTTTAGAATTTGAAGGTAAAACAAAAACAACAACACCAACTTCTATGTTATGATTCCCCCCCCCCCCAATCCCTTTTCTCAACCCCTGCATTGAAATCTTAGGGTGGGAAAACTCATCTTAACGGGATTGAACGAATGCTAGCAAGTAGCAGGATCAACAGGAGTGACAGCAAATATGTTGTGTTTCTGCCACAGTTAGCCGCCCCTAGTCGCTACCTTAAACACACACACAAACTTACATCACATTCTAACGATTTCCAAATAGTTGGCCTGCTCTACTGTCCATCTCGTGATTATAATTAAAATAGATGCACCCCAACGTCATAAAGTTCAGTGGGCTGCGGTCGGGGTTGCCCGCTACCGTGTTGAACGTTAAATACGCCATGAAAATCCACCAATGTGTTCGATTTATTGAAACCAGGCAACAAGGTGGTCAGCGAACATAAAATTACCTGGGGCATCGATTCCAAAGTCGCCGTGCCAGGTAAACACTGGGTCATGGCCAATCTTGTGATCACGGAAGAGGACTACAGTGGCGACTTTGAGATGACGACCACATTTGACGGACAGGTCAGTGAATAGTGAATATTTATACATATCTAGAATTATAGAAGCCATTGGTTTAATGTTTATCATTTTTAACGTAGACACTTACTTTTACAATGTCTTTAGAGGAAACAAAGGAAAGTTCACCGTAGAATGCTTGAGAAGGATACGCCCTCCCGAAGTGCGTACTTCTTTGGGAAACATTTTTACATCTTCACGTCATCTTGTACAGAGATCTCAGGGTGATTTTTTTTTTACATTGTATTATTTCATAACGGGAAGACATCTACTTCAAAAGTACCTTACGGGGATCTTTCCATTTGTTTCTTTTAAAGACTGGATAGATGAAAAACGCCCTCAAAATTGATAAAACATCACAATTCTTGCTGTATATCATTTTTTGGTCCCCAGCTTGTAGTCCTGTTGGGTAAGAAGAAACAAAACATCAATATTCTTGCTGTATACCACTTCTTCTCCTTAGGTTGTAGTCCTGTTGGGTAAGAATGAAAAAAAACAACATCAATATTCTTGCTGTAACCCATTTTTTCCCCAGGTTGTAGTCCTGTTGGGTAAGAGAGAAAAAAACATCTTGGACAGATTCGAAGACGCATTTAACAAGCACGTGTACCGGGTCGATTTCCCGGCGATGGTGAAGGAGGGGTACGAGGAGGTCCGGCTGAACGTCAGGAACATCTTCACGCCCAAGCTCGGCTTCGTCAACGACGCCCAGGGCCGACCCACGTTTAAGACCAAAGGGGAGTGCAAGTGCAGGATAGGCGTCGAGCAGGAGATCATCATCTCCGAGTTTCTGGGCGAGCCCCCAAAGGATAACGACCCCACATTTATGTCGCTGGAGAAGGAGGCGACAAGGAAAGCAGTCAAAAGAGCTGATCGTGATGATGATGCTTGAGTACTTTTATAGCGCTTGTGACCGTGCTATTTTAGCATTTTTCACAGCGCCATGATGTCCTAAAAATCTATTTAAAGAAAATAAAGTTCTTTAAATGGTTCTTAAATGACTTTCTATCATTTTCAAGCAAACTTTTCCACGCTTTAGGAGCAAGAGCTTCAAAAGAGCGCATCCCGCGTGACTTCTTTCTGTTATGATTCGTACGCATGGCCTTAAAGTAGTTTGAAAATTGAGTGTGGGAATATTTATTGAAAAGTCAATTAGCGAATTTTTTTTTCCCTAAATCCTAATATTGTAAAGTGAAGCAAATTGGGAGACGGGGGCAAAAGTCTAATGACAGAAGATCAGTATTTTTCACAGCATGCATTATTTGGAAATCTATAAGGGCTTATTACAACAAAGAAATAATGCGAAACATAATAATCATAGCCAGTCTATCTTTCTGATTTTTTCTACGTGAATTGATGGACCGTGGCCAAGCTATGAGCGCATAGACTTCTTTAGCAAAAATTAAATACTGGAGGGTTAAAATCTTTTTAAAAGTTCCTTTCGGGACTCCCCGGGGAGCTCCAAAATTTTGCATCCTAATAAACATGAACAATGTGGTGAACACTTCTCTATCGCGTATTGTTTTAGTCTCGATGTATTATCGCACTATTTAAACATTTTTTCCGTGTCTTGTTGAGTCCAAGCAACATGTCGATTATATTACGTGTTCATCTTTTGTAATGAACAATGAATGACAATTTCAATGTGCCCGTCGAATAATCACAATAAGATTTTACATTTCTGAAATCACCTTTGGGTTGTAATTTATATTTATTTTACCATTTAAAAAAAGTATTTCTAATCAAAGTCCAATTTTTTTAAGATTGACACCCAAACATCTATATATATATATAATGGGAGTCGCTTAGTCACTTCCTTGTTTGGTCACGTGATGTGAGTAAGCCATCACTAGGCTGCTACACACAACAAAAGACACTTCATCAGTGATTCCCCAATGTCATGTTAATTAAAAATTTTACCTTTCGTAATATTATGGAATGCAAGCGTTTTTTAAATGAAATCCATAAATGTGACAATAAATATACGTCAGTTATAATTAAAGGAAGAAAGTTATTTCAAGAAAAATTTGTGAGCGATATTCGATGGGAACTATCAATACTATTATCGGCAGGATGTTGTTGAGCTCCGTGCGTGCTCATGACGTCATTTGTGTTTTTATTCAATATTGATGCAGGAGTCATTCCCCTTTGTTTATTTTATTGTTAATTTTCATTGGACGAAATGTAGTGTCGTTGTAGTGTGTATCGGGCTACTGTTGTCAAGCACTAGTGTGTTGTATACAGTATACCGGAAATCTTACTCGTTTTTACTCACATCACGTGACAAAATAATTGACTAAGCGACTCCCATTCGCCAGCAAAGGTCAAACACCACCATCACGACCATACAGGCTATAAATAGATAAGCCAGAGTGGTTAAATAATGTCTTCACTAGCGCGCAAAATATAATTCCCGATAACTACGCTAAATGATACCTATCTATTTTTTAATAACGCTATTGCGTTTGGTGCGTAATATTTTCTTTTCGGAAATGAAATCGTCTCAATTTAAGTATTGTTTAAAAAATATTCGGTTTAAAAGTGGTTGGGACATAAGGATATTGATATAGTTCACGGGCGTGAAATAAAAAGTGTGGAGGGGGGAGGGGTGTAGCGAAATTGGCATTCTTAAATGTGCGTAACTTGAGTTCATGTTTTTGTCAAGTAACTTTACTAAATGGGAAGTTCACGCATTGCTACCGCCAATGTTTGGCGGGCTATAACTAGTTATAAATAATTCCTACAGGTATTATTATTACACACACACACATTTCAATTTTTTTTGTTAAAGAAGATGTTACCTTAAGGCAATGTTTCCCAAACTTTCGACATCTGTGTACCCCTGTTTATAATTTCGTAACACTGAGTACCCCTCATTATACTTTAATAAACAAGAAAAACAAAAATATTTAGTCTTTATTTTGCAGTGCGTACCCCCAACAAAATCTTCCCGTACCCCCAGGGGTACGCGTACCACAACTTGGGAAACGCTGCCTTAAGGTCATGAAAAAACAAAAGATCAACACTTTCAGAAACGATTCAGTAATACGCTGCAAAAGGCGCCCTCGGTCAAAGCAGAGGCGTTACAAAAAAAAAAAAGTGGGGTAGAGGAGAGCTATATGTCCCCTGGCGTGAGACTAGTCGGGGCGGGCGCCAAAATGGGCTTTGATAGCATTTCATAGATGAAAATACTGGGTTTCAGAGTTCGGTATGTAAACCCGAAACTTGTCCCCGGACTCCAGACAATCTAGCTACGCCCCTGACTTCAGGGCAGTGTTTCGTAATCTATTTGACCTCACGGCTCTGATAACCTAATCATTGAACAACTGCAACATCTCAACCTGTTAGGATCCCCGAGTTTTGCGGCCGCTGCTCTATAACAAGGGGGAACAGCTTCTTTCTTCTTCAAAGTGCAGCATAAACATTAATAGTTCAGGCTTTTTTTTTTTTTTGGGTGGGGGGGGGGGTTTGCGGGGGTTGTGGGGGGGTTGCGGGGTTGTGGGGGGAAGGAATGATAAATACCATTATTAAGATTTATTTCCTCAACTACTTCAATTGTTGACGAAAAACTGTTTTGGAACACTTCTGACTACTCCATCTAGAGGCGACCACTTCGTAAGTGGAATGATATATCTACGAAGCTTAAGACACATTTTCTTTCTTTTTTTTTTAGGACGACATTTAATTAAGTGAAATAAAAACATGGATAAGAAATAAGATAAAAATATTTGTTTTAATTTATTCTTAAATTATAGGATAACGAAATTCAATTTCTTTCAAAATTTTGTTTAATAGCTTTCTCTTAACAAATTCTGCTTAGAAAATAAAGCCATGGCATTTACGATAATAAAGAGGCTCTTATCATGGCAGGGATGAAAAAAAACATTCAACAACAAAAAAAAATATTTAAAAAAATCAATCTTGAATTTTACTAAGGTTACATTTCATTGGGTCACGATAGTAAATAATCGAAAAAAATAGCTTTCTTTTGTCGCACTCGTGGCCATGCCAAGGAAAAGTGGCACCCGGGGCGAAACCTGAGAATGGCACCCGTCAGTATATAGACAAAAATTTTTCCAGTAGGGGCGCATCAGCAAAAAAAGACGATTATGAAGTACATGGGATTGATAGTGAGATTCACTAATATGGTCCTCTTCATAAACCGATTTTGGGGGCCCCCTTCCCCTTATATTTGCGCCCGGAGCAAATTCACCCTGGCCGCCGCCAACCCCCATTTTAAAAAAAATATTTTCACAGCCCTGGTTGCCATCGTTAAAACAAAACAACAACAACAACAGAGCATGCTAGTGTCATTTGGAGGGGTGGGGGGGGGAGGTCAGGCGTTGATTGAAAATATCTGATAAGGGTTGAACGGTTACAATCTATTGATCTACTGCGAACGGGAACTAGAGACACCAGGGGGGCGTTGTCTTTTTCTCTTTCCTTCTTTCCTTCTTCGGTCAAAACAAAGATAAGCGTTCGTTCTTTCGGTTTCTATATTTATCATTGCCAAGTCTTAAGGGAGACCCGATGCCAGTTAACAACATCACATGCCGTCTAACAACATCACTGGGCAAGAAGCGTTGAGTTTTTCCCCGATTCTAAAAATACGGTAACTGGTGAAAGGGGCTGAACGGCTATGAGATGAAGATTAAAATAAGTCACTGATCTGGAGAAATATAATATATAAATGTGTTAAGTGGCAGTAATTTAATAGAAAGCAGTGTTTTTTTTGTGTGTTTTTATAATTATTTTTTTGTAAATTTACAGCAAGGCCGTCTTAACAGGTGTTACAGCGAAATTGGGGCAGTCCACCCTTCCCGCTAAGCTAACGAATCAGTATGGCGGCCAAGAGTCCTACTGAAATGAGACAGAATTGCGTTAGGGCTCCGTTAGGTCTGCCTACTTAAATTCCCCGGTAGCCAGACGATGCCAGAGATGTTAAAAAGGAAACAAAAAATATGTTAACTTTTTTTTTTTTTTGCCAGCACGGATCCGATTTTTAAAAGTGCTTTGAATTCATGTTTGACCTAACATTACACATTGAACTGAGAGACGACATTTTTTGAATGATTGAAAATTCTTTCACTTTACGCAATTTGAATTAAGTTGGTTTTCTGTGGGGGCCGGGGGGGAAAGGCTGTTTGTGTGTAATAGAGGGGTTCAAATACTACACATTTTTTTAAAACTAAGCTTTTTTTATTGAAATGAAAACAATAGCAACTTTTTTTCAACCATCGCAGTCAAAGATTGATTTTTCCCTTGATGAAAACAGCAGGAAATTTTTCAACCATCCCAGTCAAAGATTGAGTTGTTTTTTTTTTCTCCCCTTGGTGCCCCTGGTTACTTGGTGTCGATGGCAAGCTTGCCTTGCAGCCTGAAGGGGACGGGGTACTCATTCAGTGGGCCTTCCTTCAGTGTTATCATCTGCTCGACACCGATCCTGCACTTGCAGCTCCCTTTCACCGTGTACAGAGGCGACCCGCCCTTGTCCATGAAGAACCCCGTGACGTCCTTGAAGACGACGGACACCTCCTCGGAGTCCGAGTGTAAGATGTCACCTTCCTTCTCATGCAGGTAATCGACGTAAACCTGTGGAGGTCAAGAATAGATCATTTCTACGAATGGCATCGTTTACAGGTAAAGAATGAACCCCTGAAAAAATAAAGTTCTTCCTATAAATCCTTTATATCAGGCCTGCACAACTCAAAATGTAAGGCGGGCTGTAATACATTATGAAAAACTTGTGTCGGCCAAAAGAAAATAGGACAGGACTTGTGCGGGCCAAAAGAATATAGGTCAGGGGGGAAAGCTATTTAAGAAAATAATAAGAATAATGAGTTTTTCGTTACCTCACGGGCCGCAAAGTGGGTGCTGGCGGGCCACATGCGGCCCGCGGGCGTACGTTGTGCAGGATTGCTTTATATGCATTTTATTAAATATTTATATTCCAATGTCCCGCCCGGTTTTGCACCGCAGATTTATTTCACCAAAAGTTTCTGAAAAATAACAATAAAATATTACGCACCGAGCGAACTTATTTAACAACATAATAATAATAATCTCATTTTGGCGCAGTTATCGGGAATTTTATTTCATGAAATCAGTGGCATCAGGTTTCTTTCATCCCCCACTTTTGAAAAACAGGGAAAACAACTTATTTACGGGGATTGAGGTTCATGCGTGGGACTGAAAGTTTGAAAGAATGTGTCGTCATCGGCAACGCATCTATGTACCAAGTTTCAGCTTGATAAGACTGTCTGGAAGTAAGTCCGAATATTGCACTACCCGGCAAGAAACAAGAGCAAAAGCGAAGTTAATGTAACGGATTTTAAAAAAAAAATATTTTTAAATGGAAAATGTTCTGTTATTGGTCGCTGAGTCGTGTCTCAGATATGGGTTTAGTGACTGCCGGGGTGTTAGGGACATAGTCATTGGCCAAATCCAATCTGGTGTCCGATTGAAGGCTGCAGAGAGAGTATTCCTTACTTTCCCATCAAATGTGGCATCCATCTCGAAATCCCCACTTAAATCCTCTTCTTTGATCTTCAGCTCGGCCGTCGTGGTGCATTTGGGCGGTACGACAATGTCGCTGTTGATGGACCACGTCAGCTCCTGCTCACTCGTGTTGATGTTTCCTACGGAACAGAGACGCTATGTGGTTGTTTTATTTTATTTTTAAAAAATTTTTTTTGCGGGGGTGGGGGGGAATCCCTGAGTGACTTCCCACGCCAACAAAAGATAATACTATAATTAAATAAGAAGACTTAAATGGAATGGAAATGGTGATGAATTGGTCATGTTCCCATTCCAATATTAACGAGTCTTCATTTTCCCATCTTATTTTTGGACAAACAGAGACATTCAATCACACATCTTTTTTTCGGTTACATATTTTTTTCTAAATTTAATTTTCTACTTTTGTTATTCCCTACAGCGCTCCATCTTTTATCGTCTGTAAAAAATAGTTTAATACAATGTGAATTAAACATTTATAAAATAATACATCCAACCCAAACAAACAAACAAAATCCACGAACCAACCTTTTTGAGTGGTTCGATCAAAATTAAACTTGGCTCTCACACCGGTGCCAGCGACGGGGATCGATGCGTTGACGCCAATGTTTCCACCGACGCTGAAGGTCTTCATGATGCTGAGCTCGCAGGAGGACGTCGTCGAACGGACCGAGTTTAACGTGAACGACTGAGACTCGGGCGTCCTGTTGCTGAACTTGGATCGGAATAAGATGTTTGCCGTCGGAGTCCTCGGACCGCCGTGTCTGACGAAGACCGGATCGTCTGGAAGTTTTGATAGACCGAGAGAGGGGGAAAAAATGGTAGTTTTCAAATCCATGCAAGTAAGCTTATCCTAGTTATTTTTTTTTAAAATTAAAATTGTCATGGATTTAAATCATACATGACATCCATACCACATCATGACAGCTTAACATAATCGTAACAGCAATAATCTTTCTAGAAAGGTCTGGAAAAGTATCGTTGCTCTACACCAAGCGTAAAACTCCGTAGTGTAACGCTAACTTCCGGGTACGTCCCAATCAGTAGACCAGCGTGAGTTATTGACGTCATGAACTATGTTCCCTTTAAGCTGCACGGCTGCGCGGCCGCGCAGAAATCTCACAGACGCCGCGCAGCAGTTTTGAGTACCGCTCAGCTAATTTCCACTTAAGTGTCTGTAGGCTGAAAATTTTGCGCACAAAAAAAATTGATGCTGTAAAAATGTGCACACAACTTTTTGATTTTGCACACGAACCAACAAATCTTAGAGGGAACATTGGTCATAAGTGGATCTTGAAATGCCGGCCCATAAATAGCATCACCAAAAAAAAAAAAAAAAACACTGTTCAAAATTCATTAAAAAAATAAGCCATGTAAACATATCAAGGAAATCAAAAGTACATGAAGTGGACCTAAAGAATATGAAGTGGACCTAAAGAATATGAAGTAGACCTAAAGAATATGAAGTAGACCTAAAGAATATGAAGTGGACCTAAAGAATATGAAGTGGACCTAAAGAATATGAAGTGGACCTAAAGAATATGAAGTAGACCTAAAGAATATGAAGTGGACCTAAAGACTATGAAGTGGACCTAAAGAATATGAAGTGTACCTAAAGAATATGAAGTGGACCTAAAGAATATGAAGTGGACCTAAAGAATATGAAGTGGACCTAAAGAATATGAAGTGGACCTAAAGAATATGAAGTGGACCTAAAGAATATGAAGTGGACCTAAAGAATATGAAGTGGACCTAAAGAATATGAAGTGGACCTAAAGAATATGAAGTGGACCTAAAGAATATGAAGTGGACCTAAAGAATATGAAGTGGACCTAAAGAATATGAAGTGGACCTAAAGAATATGAAGTGGACCTAAAGAATATGAAGTGGACCTAAAGAATATGAAGTGGACCTAAAGAATATGAAGTGGACCTAAAGAATATGAAGTAGGCCTAAAGTATTTGAAGTGGATCTAAAATTCCACATGAAAATAAGAAACCTTCCGGGGGGGGGGAGGGGGAGGCGAACACTCCCTCCTGCTACGCCCATGATCCCAATGGCCCTACAGCACATTTAAATGATCTCTTCGCATCATATCCGGAAATTTTCGTCCGCATCGTCTTTTGAAGTTCAACCATAAGACACGCAGTTCACGGGTGGCCGGCTGGTCTCAAATGAGGTAGACTGGTTCTATCCCCAGAAAAAGCAAAAAAATCACCAACAGCCCTGGTGGATGAGGCTCGTTAAACTTGGAGGGCATCTCATCATCTGCTGCAAGTTTAGCGTTAAACATACGTGTCATCAAATATATCGATTGTTATCGATGAAAGGCACACGTTTCTGTTACTTTTAAAAATTTGGTAACGAAATAAAAAAAAAGTAGTTTTTATTATAAAAGCATATTTTCATGTTTTTTAATGGACACATTTTTCATCCGCGGAGGGCAGGCACTTGGTGTGCTCGGGTGGGGGGGGGGGGGGGGGCAGTTCCTTTTTCCCCAGAAAAGATGCGTGAAGGAAGGACTGCTTATAAAAGCATATTTTCATGTTTTTTAATGGACACATTTTTCATCCGCGGAGGGCAGGCACTTGGTGTGCTCGGGTGGGGGGGGGGGAGGGGCAATTCCTTCTTCCCCCGAAAAGATGCCTGAAAGAAAGACTGCCCTGGTGGCTTGCCTGCTGGTTTTTCGTGGTCAAATAGGTCAATACAGAACTGGTAGCTTTCAGGTAGAGATTTCTGCCTAATTGTAATTATTTTTATTAGGCTATAGCAAGAGCAGTGTCCTTAATTACGGTAACCATCGCTCAACTGTTGTCAAAAGTAATTTCTAAAGGAACATACTAACCGTATGTGATGGATAGGCTGTCCCAGTCTATCCTTAAAGAAACATAATAACCGTTTGTGATGCATACGCTGTTCATGTCTGACCTTAAAGCAACATACTAACCGTAAGTGATGGACACGCTGTCCCAGTCTATCCTTTAAGAAACATACTAACCGTATGTGATGGATACGCTGTCCCAGTCTATCCTTGGCTCGTTCGTATTACAATATTTTTTAGCATTGCTGGGAACCTTTTTCTTAAAAAATTCTACCACAATTTTGTCAAGATCGATAACTGAGAATGACATACTCAGAGTGGATTCTTCTGAAAAGAGAAAAAACAATACAAATATTTGTTTAAAATGGAAGCCGAAAAGCACAAAATTCGGCTGTTGAATGATAAATACTACCTTAAAAAATAAATATTTCTTATCCCGAAACTATTTCCATCAAATATTTATACCTAGACTGTTATAAATGCAGCATCTTCAGGTACCAACTCGTCCCCCCCCCCGCCACACCCAAAATCCCATAGATTGTATTTATTTGTCAGTCCCGTCTGCTGGGGGGAGGCGTTTAGGCGAAACGCTCTTCACTTATTGCCGTGCCTTGTCTTTCGATTCAAGCTTACACATGCCTTGTTTAGCTGTGTCCCCCTGTAGCAGCCGAAATGCCCTTCACAACACTGCTAGTTAAACGCTGAAAATATGGGTTGTGTTGGGGAACAAACACCTGTTACTTGCACTGACAAAAACACTCTTAATATATCTATGGTGTTTAAAATGTGTTGCATGTATGTGTGCGCTAAATGGGCTTTTTGAGCTCCATTGCATATTGTCAGCATGTTCCGTGTCAACCCTTTTAGCATGTTCCCTGTCAACCCTTTTTGGTTCTGTGGCATAGTGTCAGCATGTTCCCTGTCAATCCTTGTTGAGCTCTCTGACGTAGTGTCAGCATGTTCCCTGTCACAAATTTTGAGCTTCATGACAAATTGTCAGCACGCTCCTCGTCACGCCTTTTTGAGCTCTATGGTGAATTGTCAGCATGTTCCTTGTCAATCGTTTTTGAGCTTTACGGCATATTGTCAGCATGTTCCCCATCACGCCTTTTTTTTTGGGGGGGGGGGGGAGGGGGGGCTTTACGGCATATGTTACGATGCTCACTTCAAGGTTATTCAACTGTCTTTGCTTCTTTTCTTCTTTGATCAATTTGTCGACTTTCTGTAGAAACAAAATTTCCTTGGATAGTCCAAAAATCCTTGATGATAATTTATCCAACTCAACCTAGTTTTATAAAGGAGTAATACGTTATGTGCTTCAATTACAAAGGGAACATGTCTATGTGAGACGGATTTATATTAGATGTTGATATGAGACATGTTGGGATGGAATGTTGAGATGAGACATGTTGGGATGAGACATGTTGGGATGGAATGTTGAGATGAGACATGTTGGGATAGAATGTTGAGATGAGACATGTTGGGATGGAATGTTGAGATGAAACATGTTGGGATGGAATGTTGAGATGAGACATGTTGGAATGGAATGTTGAGATGAGACATGTTGGGATAGAATGCTGAGATGAAATATGTTGGGATAGAATGCTGAGATGAAACATGTTGGGATAGAATGCTGAGATGAAACATGTTGGGATAGAATGCTGAGATGAAACATGTTGGGATAGAATGCTGAGATGAAACATGTTGGGATAGAATGCTGAGATGAAACATGTTGGGATAGAATGCTGAGATGAGACATGTTGGGATAGTATGCTGAGATGAGACGGGTTGTGTTTGAATTTTGTGATGAGAAGGTTCGGCATGAAATGTATATAAGACTGTTTATTATTGAATGTGGAGATGAGACATGTTGGGATATTGAATTTGGAGATGAGACATGTTGGGATATTGAATTTGGAGATGAGACATGTTGGATATTGAATTTGGAGATGAGACATGTTGGGATAGAATATTGAGATGAGACATGTTGGGATATTGAATTTGGAGATGAGACATGTTGGGATAGAATGTTGAGATGAGACATGTAGGGATATTGAATTTGGAGAGGAGACATGTTGGGATATTGAATTTGGAGAAGAGACATGCTGAGATATTGAATTTGGAGATGAGACATGTTGGGATATTGAATTTGGAGATGAGACATGTTGGGATATTGAATTTGGAGATGAGACATGTTGGGATAGAATTTTGAGATGAGAAAAGAAGGGGAGGGTATGTTGTTTTGCACAGCCCCAAACGTTGACACGAGACGTGCTCAAAATGTATTATTTATAAACTATTGTGCTGCACGCTGTCCTAAATCTAGGTGAGATCTCAAAATTGTCCCTCGCTCTTCTACTGAAACCCCTCAGGAGTTGATGAATACCTAATGAGTGCATTCCATGTGGTTATGAAGGTCAATCCTTGGTAACCTTGCAACCAGTGAAATATGCTCTTCAGTACCAGGCACAGAAACATTGCGAATCTCCTCCACATGCATAGGAGCCGGAATTATCAATACACGGATCGTGGGGCCGTAATATATATATATATATATATATATATATATATATATTATATATATATAAGGAGTTCCTGATACAATTTTGTTTACAATTTTGTTCATTGTTTCAAGTTTGTTGTTTATCCCGTCACACCCAAGATCCGACTTACATTCCCCGCTCTTCACCTCAGTGCTCCAAGCCCATTGCCTCATTTCCCGGTACCGGTAACAAGTGCCCGATGCGGCCTTCCGACTTTTAAACACATCGTCCATCCACTTTTCTATTATTAGAATAACGCAGGTCAAGACTATAGAAAGAACGATTTCCCCATATAGTAGGCACCATACAACAATTCGGTGCGTAATCAATGCTACTATCCGTGTGAATGTTTTTTTTCTTATACTTTTGCATTAAATAGTGATTTGTATATATGTAAGAGTAAGTAGTGGCGAACGACTG